AACTGTAGTAGTGTGGTGGTTTAGGGTTGACTTAGGTGACAACGCCAAAACACTGTAGTAGTGTAAATTGACCCTGCTCGCAGCGCCAACAACTGTAGCCGAGTGGTGACGTAGCTTACAGTTTTTTTTTGTTAGACCCATGTAGAAACTTAAGTTATGAAATCTCAAAATAGACCGACTTGTTAGACCCATGTAGAAACTTAAGATATGAAATCTCAAATTAGACCGACTTGTTAGACCCATGTTGAAACTTAATGTAGTAGAGCGGTGGTTTAGGGTTGACTTAGGTGACAACGCCAAAACACTGTAGTAGTGTAAATTGACCCTGCTCGCAGCGCCAAACAACTGTAGTAGTGTGGTGGTTTAGGGTTGACTTAGGTGACAACGCCAAAACACTGTAGTAGTGTAAATTGACCCTGCTCGCAGCGCCAACAACTGTAGCCGAGTGGTGACGTAGCTTACAGTTTTTTTATAAAATCAAAATGAAACAATCAGGTCTTGAGGACTATAGCTTTTTAATTAATGCTCTACTATGATGAAAACAAGAAAAAGGGAAAGAAGAAGAGAAAGAAAAAAAAGGAAAAGAAAAAGGACAATATCTGAAAATAAACAAATAGTACAGGTTAACAATGTCCTGACTAACATAGCTAATAATAAACATATTACATAACCACGTAATTACACGACATAACCACGTAATTACACGTGACGACAAAATATACTTAACTAGAAAGCATGATAAATGATACGTAAGTAGTATTGGTTCATACACATGGCAAAGATAATTATCTTGTACTACGAATGTTTTAACTATAAAAGAAACCACGTGCAGTGTTTAATTTGAAACACGTGCACAGTGTTAATGCTACACACAGAACCAGAGTGCGATGTGAGGGCTAACATAAACTTTAAAGATCTTGAAGTTATAATAGTATGCCATCCAGGTATGGTGTCTATGTAAGAGGCACACATAGCGGGACAGTAAATACAATGGTATTAAGTATGACCACCGTTGGCTTGATACTTGTATCTGTCCATCGCTGTGTCTTGTTAAGACAACAGCAGATTGCAGAATGAATCAT